GTCGCTATGAGTCGGAAACGACTCGACGGCACTTAACAACAACAACAACAAACTTCTCAAGTCCCACGATCCTTCACCTCTTGTCTATCATGCCTTTTATCATCTCATGTACTAAATGGGGATAATAATCTAGAATTATTACAAAAGAATTTATACATAATGTGAAATTATTCAACACTTATGTGGTTACATCATCAAAACACTGAAGTAACCAGTTATATTCCAGTGGTCACTGAGCACAATATGTACTTAAGTGTTTATGTGCTACGAATGCAGAACCAAATCAGACAAAATTCCTGTTCTCAAATATCCTATCTTTTAACAGAGGTATAAAGAAAGGGAAACACATCATAAAAGTACAAAGACAGATGTCAATGACTTGGGAATGTTAACATAAAATAAAAATGTATTTTCACCAACTCACATATTCTTTTCAGATTGTGTACCCTAAACTTGTATCTAAGAAAACGTGTGAGAAACTCTTTCAGGAACTGGCTTTTTCAGCATATTTTGACTCTTCAGACACACACACACACACACACACACAATTTAAGACTTTGAATGGTGAGGTTCATAACTAAGTCTGCAATTTTGGGACCAGGAAATAACATGAGTGGAGCTCTCATGAAAATCTGAAAGCAAACTGTGTTCACCTTTTATAGAATTGCAGATGACTCATTTCCTTTATCTTCAAACAGGATCATACAGAGATATAAGAACCTAGCTTAGAATTAAAACACACACAGGCTGAAGTTCATTACTAGCATTACTGTTATATATGGGAGGAGGAAGAATTAATGGACTAATTGATGGGACTGGTCATGGCTCAAAAAGTAATCACTTTAATGTTATCACTAGCAACTGGAGAAAAGTTTACTATTGATTCCATATTTCCTTATGTCTGCTGGAAGCGTGACGTTAAACATAATCTTTAGGTTATTCAAAAGGGAATGCTTTTGTAATAGAAATCATACTTACCCAGAAATGGGCAAGTACATTAACTTCAAAAGTCTTTTCAATCTGAGGGTCTTGTGTAGCCATCAAATCCGATGTGAACACTACACCAGCATTATTTATTAAAATACTCACATCTCCAATTTCTGCCTTCACCTTTAAATATAAAATAAGAGAAATATATATACATCATCAAGAAGTATGAAGGTAGGTTTGAATGCAACAGTTATTAAAGGAATATGGATTTCTCTACTAGATGTGGAAAATGTGTTGTTTCACAAATCTATTGCACACATAAAAAAAGGAAAAAAAAATTTTTATTTTAGGTCAAACCAAACCACACTCACTGCCATTGAGTCAGTCCTGATGCATAGCAACCCCTCCTGGGTTTCTGAGGCAGTACAGATTTTTTTTTTTTTTTTTAATTTTAGGTAATTATGTACAAAACAGGAGCCCTGGTGGTGCAGTGGTTAAGAACTTGGCTGCTAACCAAAAGATCAACAGTTCAAACCCACCAGCCGCACTGCAAGAGAAAGATGAGGCAGTCTGCTTCCATAAATATTCTAGCCTTGGAAACCCTATGGGGCAGTTCTCCTCTATTCCATAGGGCTATTATGAGTCAGAATTTGACTTGACAGCAGTGGGTTATGTGCAAAACAATTCTATCAGTCTACTAAGCAGAAATTTGATGTTGCAATTTAGTGTCTTGACTTGCTCTATTGATTACAGCCCAAGAGACATTTAGTTAAAGGAAACATAACCAGTGACAAATAAGCAGCATTTATTTTTAAATACTACTTCAAAAGGTAAGCAAAAAAAAAAAAAGTTAACAAATTCAGAATTGCTAACCAAAATCTCTGGTTCAAACCCACCAGCCACTCCATGGGAGACAAGATATGGTACAGTCTGCTTCCATAAAGATTAAAAACAAAACAAAACAAAAACCTCATTGCCATAGAGTTGATTCCAACTCATAGAAGTGTGGGCAATCTACTTCTATAGTAATACTGCCTCAGAAACCCAAGGAGGGGTCGCTATGAGTCGGGTCCGACTTGATGGCACATAACAACAACAAAAAATCTTATAGAAGTAGATTGCCCCATCTTCCTCCCATGGAGCAGCTGGTGGGTTTGAACCACTGACCTTATGGTTAGTAACCAAATATCTTACCCACTATGCCACCAGAGCCCTTTTCAATAAAGATTACAGCCTTGAAAACCCTATGGAGAGGTTATACTCTGTCATACAGGGTCACTCTAAGTCAGAATCCATGTGAGGGCAATGGATTGTTTCTCTTTCCTTTTGGTATGGGGAATTATGCAAATTTGATTACATCATTAATTTGGCCACATCTATTTCTTTATTTCTATTCTTTTATTTTCATGGTCACTCCATTCTATTGCTAACCAATATTTTTCCTTTGGGTGGCAGCAGGCTTAGAGGTGAAGAGCTGTCAACCTTCAGTCCTGGCTCTGCCACTCACTATCTTTTGGGCCTTGAACAAGCTATTTAACCTCTCAAAACTTCAATTCTTCCTCTGATAAATAGAATAGTAACACAGCTTCCTTATGAGTTGTTGTGGGAACAAATGAAATAATGCATGTAAAGGGGCTACCACTGTATCTGGCATACATAGTGTATTGGTTACTTAGTGCCACTCTGACAGGAATATACCACAAATGGGATGGCTTGAACAGACAGTTTATTCTCTTACAGTCTGGAGGCTTTAAGTCCGAGTTCAAAGTGCCAGGCTCTAGGGGCTGGGTGAAAGCCCCTCAACCTTGGGCTTCAGTTCTGCCTCCTGCTCCTGGCCCACTGGAGCTAGAGGGTTTTCTTCACTCAGACAGCTGCTGGCTGCTGAGGCTGACAAGCCCAATGCTGACAAGTACAAAGGCACAGTCCCGATGTTACCAAACCACACGGCAGGCCATTAATTTAAGTTCATTGAAAGTCCCAAGGTCAGCAGAGCATGGCAGGCTGCTGAATAACACCACAACTACATGCCAGGTTCAAGCGTGCCATAATCTGGAGACCATTCTCAAAGCTGCTTCTTATATACAGGAAGCAGACCACATCCCTAAAGCAACTCTTCAGCTGATGGTGGTAGATTCCACTGTGGAGTTGACTGCCAGTCTCATCATGGGGAATAACTACCACCAGCTGCCCAGCCACTCAACCAGACCCAGCCAAGGTGACATACAACTTTAACTACCACACATAGTAAACTACATTATATATAAAGCAATAAATACTATTATTACATGTCCATTTACATATGGCTACAACTAGCGTGGGAGCTCTGGTGGCATAGTGCCTAAGGCATGTGACTGTTAACAAGAAGGCTGGAGGTTCAAATCCACCAGCCACTCCTCAAAGGAAGACTAGGCAATCTACTTCCGTAGAGATACTGCCTCAGAAACCCAAGAAGAGGTCACTATGAGTCGGTTTTTTTGTTTGTTTGTTTTTTTTCAACCTTCTGTGATATGGATACACAAATATGAGGTAAACAATATAAAAATACATCTATGTGCATTTCTAATATATATATGTGGTGTATGCATGTTTTCTCTTATGATAATACATCTATTTTGGTATTAATTCAGAAGAAAGAATATTTGAGAAATTAAAATGCTCTGTGAAAGGGTTTATATAAGTTTGAAGGCCAGATTCAAAGGTCATTGCAGCTCTCATAGATAAGATAATTTCAGTTGAGAAAATATTACCAAAGGAACAAGGCTAGCTGCCAAGAGTAACAGAAGTCATCCACTGAATTGTAAAGACTATTTGTACTCAACAAGGAAGACCTGCAAGTAATAGTTTTTTTAAAAAACAATTTTCTACCTTTTGGATGCTAACATAATTAGTAGCAGTATCTGTAACTAAGAAAGCTCACAGATCTTGACATTTAAGCTTGACTTTTCATAAGACTGGAAGAACACAGGTTCTCACAACAACTCAACGAAATGGCATAGTATGCCCACTTACAAATGAGAAACATGAAGCACAGAATGGTTAAGCTTCTTGCCCAAGGTCACATGGCTAGTAAATGATGGAGCTGGGATTCTCCCAGGTATATATGACATCAAGGAAAAAGAAACCTGGTGCACCAAAGTCCATAAATGACCCAGCAGGATGTCAGAGAGAAGCCCTATTATATATATATATACACACACACACACACACACACACACACACATATACATATATATATATATATACACATATACAAA